TAGGATGCACTACAGATCGGTCAGCTAATTGAAGGGTCATCCTAGTAGCACGGGGTTCACCTAGGCCTAGTTTCTTGAACAATTTATACGGCATAACATTGATACTAGCACCTAAATCTGTCAAGGACCTCTCTACATGCAATTTATCTATAGAGCACGGGATAGTAAAACTACCTGGGTCCTTCTGCTTCTGCGGAAGCTTGTTCTGCAGAATAGCCGAGCACTCCTCGCTGAGCTCCACAGTGGCCAGCTCACTCAGCTTCTGCTTCTTTGAGAGAAGCTCTTTCAGAAACTTCGCATACTTAGGCATTTGCGATAGTGCCTCCAGGAAGGGCACTTGGACATTCAGCTTCCTAAGCATGGACATGAAGTTTTCGAACTCTGCCTCCAGCCTATCTCTGTGCAGCCGAGTAGGGAATGGGAGTTTCGGGATATACTCCTTCACTACCGGTTGCGGCTTAGGTGCAGGCACCTCAACCTCCTTCTCTGCTTCTTTTTCAACCGCTGGAGATGCTAAGACAGGGGTCTCTCTCTCTTGTTCCCGAACAGGTGGATCAACAGTCATCTTGCCACTCCTGGTTGTGATGGCATTGCAGTGCTCATTCGGGTTCTGCGGATGAGGAATGGTCTGACAGGGTAGAGTACCAGGAGCCCTTTGTGCCACTGCCTGAGCCACGCTCCCCAGCTGGGTTTGGATATCCTGCAAGACAGCCTGTGTGTTCCTCTGGCCAGCTTCAAGAGCCAGGAATTTACCCGAGGCCTTTTCCATGAACTGCTCAATAGTGTTGAATTTCTGAGCACTAGAACTGGCGAGAGAACCCACCAAGTCCCGCAATTCAGCCATCTGATCATTCTGCACTGGGGCAGCAGGGGCTGCACCTGGCTGTTGGAAAGGTCGCGGCTGTGATTGAGCAGCATGCCCCTGCATGGGCTGATAGAGAGACTGTTGTTGCTGCTGGAATTGCCCCTGTCTAGGCTGATATGGCGGCCTCTGGAAGCCCGGTGGTCCCTGGGGGACTGGTGGTCTGGAATTTGCCCCACCCCAGGATAAGTTAGGATGCTGGCGCCACCCCTCATTGTAAGTGTTACTGTAGGGGTCATTGCGCCTGACGTTATTGATGAAGTTCACCTGCTCCTAGGGTGTGGTTGATTCCTTCATCGCCTAGCAGTCTTCCACCGTGTGATGGGTGCTCTCGCACCAGTGGCAGAGCATCGCCTGCGGCTGTCCTGTACCTGCGATCAAACAAGAGCGATCGATAGCTGAAACCAGCTTCGATACCACCTGCACCAAATCAGATGACTGGGTGCCCACAGCATGCACACCCCGTCCTGGTGCTCGTCTCGATCTCCTGGCAGTTCTCCAATCGTACCTGTTCTTCGCCATCTCCTCAAAGAGTTTATTCAGCTATGGCGGTGTTTTGGTCAGCATGTTCCCGCCACAAACTGAGTCAATCAGCTGCTTGTCCTCCGGGAAGAGGGCGTGATAGAAGGTGCCCACCTTGAAGACATCATTGAAGCCATGATTTGGACACCTCAGGAAGAGACTGTTGTACCTCTCCCATGCAACCCTGATGGTCTCATCCTCATCCTGAGCAAAATGGGTAATTTGCTTCTACAGGTCAGCTGCCTTGGATGGAGGATGGTAGCGGGTGAGGAACTTGTCCGCCAGGTTGGCGAACGTGGTGATAGATCCCGGAGGTCGAGTGTCTAGCCACTCCTTGGCTTGCCCCTCCAGAGTAAATGGGAAGTACCTCAGCTGGATGGCATCTGCTGGTACCCCATTGATCTTGATTCCATCGATGAGCTCGTGGAATCGCCTAAGATGTGATCGGGGGCACTCCCCCTCCTTACCACGGAACACCACTGAACCGCGCAGCATGGTGATTACTGAGGTGCTCACCTCAAAATTGTTAGCTGGGACATGAGGGTGTTGAATGGGTGACCTCATGTCCGCAGCTCTAGCGGTCCAGTAGGATCCCATGGTCTGCTCATCTGGTTTGATCACATCATGGTCCTGTGGATCAGCCATCTCTTCTTCTTCTTCTTCGATCTGCAACTGTGATAGCTCCTCCTCCGCAGCCAGTCGCGCCTTTAGAGCCCGCTTGAAGTTCCTGCAGGTTCGTTCAAGCTCCTGGTCTAATGGTAGTAGATCTCCCGACTGGCTACGGGTCATGCACTACCTGCACACAATCAGCAGAAGCAACCCGTGAAGGCACACAGGTGGAAGAGAAAAATGCAATAAAGAAAAAGCTAGAGTAACAAATTCTGACATTTCCCCAATAACCTAGAGGGTTCCCCGGCAACGGCGCCAAAAACTTGACACGCCAAAACACAACACCAAACTGCGACCAAGTGTAATCGCAGTCCAGGAATGCAGTAACAGGCAAGTTCTATTATCAACCCGGGGTCTAGATCTACTGCTTACTCCGTGATTATTTATTACATAGCCAAGTAAGTCGAGTGATTTATGTTTAAAGCAAAAGCAGTAAGAAAGCAGGAAATGGTTCGATTTTCAAAAGCAGGTAAGAGTCACTCAGGAATGAGACCCCCTAGCTCCTTAGTTAGGTTCAATTGTAATTACCCTGGGTTGATTCACTATTGATTAGACTGCGGAAGATCCGACAGTAGCTTGGAATCTCTTAAGCTGACCAAGCCCTCTCAGTCTAGCTACCCGGCAGACGACTAGTCTTCACCGGGATAGAAAGCTGAGGCTATGAGCACAGAACTCCACTACTGGAATTGAATTCCAGTACAAAGCAGTAAACTGGCTAACTCTCGTATAACCAATCTCCTACTATCGAATGAAGAGGCTCTAACAACCTAATCAGATTCTATCTATCTTAGGTTGCAGCAAAAATCGAGAAAAGCTGATCAGACTTCAATCAATTCAATAAACATGCATCATTCGATTAAAACCAAACAGTATAATCATCCCAAGTCATTACAATCAAATCCCTAACACAAGGAACTAGGGTTCTTCATACCCAAGTGAGAGAAGGGTTCTACTCCATAGAGAGAGAGAGAAGAAAACAGTAATCAGAGTAGTCATACTCATAAAGATGAGGAAAATCTGCTCTGGGATGATGATTTCCACTCCTATGACGATCTCCAAGCTCGATTTGACGAAACCCAGCTCCAAGATAGCTTCTAGGATGTGTTCTTCACACTTTCTCTCTCTAGGGCTCTGTTTTTGCTCTGAAAATCCTATTCTCTCCCTTTTGGCTCGAAATTGGCTGAAAAACCAAGATTTCCCGACTCACACGGGCAGGCCACACGGCCGTGTGTCTCACCCAGTTGCCCGTGTGAGTCAAAACGCGGTGTATGGATTAGTTGCACTTCAGGCTTCCCACACGGCCAGGGTCGCACGGCCGTGTGGATTTCCTGCTCTGCCCGTGTTTGCTCTCGGCGAAAATCACACGGCCACAAATGATAGTTGCACGGCCGTGTGATGGCCAGGAATGCCCGTGCAGCTTCCTTCGCACCTCGCCACGCGTCCGATCTTCGTCCAATCGACCCCAAACTCGCTCCCAAGCCTCCATTCACGTACTAGGACCTGAAATATCACAACCAAGCACAACCTAGCGTGAAATCGGCCTAAAACACGAGAATCAACACCTCAAACGGTGTAAGAACAGGGGTAAAAACATGTGTAATTAACGGTCTATCACATTAGTCTTCCCACTTTCTTGCACATTTACAGCCCCACCCTGCTCCCAGTCAATCCTCGTGGTACACCACATGTATTCTTGATTTTATAATTTGTGATTACATATGGGTACCCGCGGTATTCGCTATTCGTCCCCTATGGGTAATATATAGGTACCGGTTATCCTGTACGGGTTTGAAAAATGGAATGGAGTTCTCTCCAAATGGGAATGGGTACCCGTTTCAAACAGGACGGGTACCCAGTCCCGTCGCATTGTCCACTCCTACAGAAATTAAATGTTATGCACTTGTGATGTACAAAAATTAGGATGCATAACAATTAACAAATCATGCATGGTCAAAAATTACTACTCCTTAAAAACAATCTTTTTCCGAATCAAGCGAGTACAGGTACCCAGTCCCGTCCCGTTGTCCACTCCTACAGAAAATAAAGGTTACGCACTTGTGATGTACAAGAATTAGGATGCATAACAATTAACAAATCATGCATGGTAAAAAATTACGTACTCCTTCAAGAAAAATCTTTTTCCGAATCAAGCGAGCCCATGGCCCATTAGTCTACTCAAATAAATCAAACGAGCCCATAAGTGATTTTCACTTATGTAGGAGCTGCGTAGGCTTCTCTTCCATCCAACGTCTTCCCGCCGGGAAACAAAGCACCCGATAATTCGAGCGACTCACACTTAAAATTTTCCCCTCAGATTTCCATTTCCATCTCCAATACCCGATTCTAGCGTTCCTTTCTCTCATCATGGCAATGACAATGAGCACATCTGTAACTGCATCTTTCGTCACGAAGCCTCTCGATTCAAGCTGCATAGAAACGTCGGTAAGGCAGTTTTTCGGTCTTCTGCTCATTTCATTAGCGTTGAAGATGCCTATACTCTCATTCAATCGGTTGCTCCGCATGAAACCCAGGTTGTGAAATACGGTCAGTTATTGTCGTTAATTGTGAAAATGAATGCCCTGAGGTTGCGGTCTCGGTATCCAAACTAATGGATTTGGCTGGCATGCCGTTCAACAATTACATACTCAACATGTTGATTCATTGCTTCTGAAGATTGGGTCGTGTCGATGTTGGGTTCTCGATTTTGAGAAAATGTGATTGCTTTTTCAGTACCTTGATTGGTGGGCTCTCTAAAGGTGTGTGATTTGCTGATGCTGTTAATTATAATTTGATCGTAAATGGGCTTTAGGGCACAAGCCTAATGTGGTCTATTATAATTCGATCATAAATGGGTCCTGTAAGATGGCCAAACTGATGAAGTTCTTAGTTTGCTTGATGAGTGGAAGGTTTGGGTTGTTGGCATAATGTTACTACCTATAACACTATCATGGGTGCTCTGTGCAAGGATGGCTCAACTTCTAGAGCGCTAGATGTCTTCTGTGATCTTAAGGATAAGAAAGTCCCGCCAAATGTTTTCACCAACAATTATTTGATTCATGGCTTGTGTATCGCAAGTCAGACGAAAAGTGCTTTGATGATGTTGAATGAGATGATAGAAAGTTATTACATCATGCCTGATTTGTTCACTCTCAGCATATTGGTTGATGAGCTTTTCAAAGTTGGAACGATTTTGGAGGCTAAAGCTGTGATTGGTAAGACTATTCAGAGAGACAAGTGCGGCCAAATATAACCAAAACAACTCATTCCTAGATGGGTATTGTCAACTTTAGTGAATTAGGGGAAGCTAAGAGGTTATCTGCTTTGATGTCTAGTATGGGATGCAAGCCTAATGTCTGTAGCTACAACATCATAATTTTTGGATACTATAGAGATAAAAGGATCTGTGAAGCCAAAGAGTTATTCTTTGATATGCTTGAGAAGGATTTGACACCAAAAAAGTGTTACATTTAATACTTTTGTGAATGGATTCTGCACAGTGGGAAGGCATACTGAAGTGAAGCACAGGAATTTGTGAAGAAAATGCGTGATCAGGGTCAGGTTCCAGATGTTGTGACTTATAATAGTATATTTTGCTTAAGCACTTGTACGAGCGAGATCATCTCAACGAGGCACTGGCTTTGTTCCAATGAATTGAAAGCATTAGTGGGTTGACGACTCTTTTCGATAGCGTGTGGAAAGCTGGCAATGTTGAGGAAGGAAGGGCAATGTTTTCTAGGCTCTGCAAAGATTGGTGTGTACAGCCTAATATTGTCACGTACAACATAGTAATCAGTGGGCTATGTAGACATGGCTTCGTAGATGAAGCATATGGTCTGTTCAAAATGATTGAGGTGAGTGGTTGCTACCAAAATTATCACTCTTATAAGTTTGATCGTCCGCTAATATCTTCGACACAAAGATCCACTCGATGCAGAGGAACTCATTCAAGAGATAGTATCTAAGGAATTAAGGATTCTCAGCTGATGCCAAGATCTTCCTAGACGTTGGGAGAATTATGCCTGATGAAGCTATTGGTTCATCCTGATCGATGACTTTTGCAAAGATGGGATGATATTGGAGGCTAAAACTTTCATTAAAGTGATGATTCAAGGTAAAGTGCCCCCAAATATTGTCACATGCAGCTAGATGGATATTGTTAGTGTGGTGAATTTGGCAGAGCTAAGAGGCTATTTGATTTGATGGCCTAGCCTGGGATGTGAGCCTAATGGTTTGTAACATCATGATTCATGGATGTTGTAAAGATAAAAGGATATGTAAAGCCAATCAATTATCTTTGTCCATTTGATATTTATCGAAGGAAAACCATGATTGTATTGAAGGTCTGGCCCAATGATTGTCCCTGCTCTCACTAGCTGTGTGCTGTTGTTTTTCCTCTACTCTCTTTTGTGTTGGATGATCTCTAGACTAACCAACTTATCAATTTGGTGATGCCATGAAAATGATTGGATCATTCTTGTGATGATTGGCATAAACTGTAGCATTCCTTTGTATGTAAAGTACAACAATCTATTACGGGGAAAGAAAGTACGGCAATCAGTTAGATCGTATTGCAGTTTTTTCCTGTTCTTTTAATTTCAGGTGAGCCGGTACTTCATTTGTTGGAGCGGACAATGCATTGCATCAAATGGCCGCACCTCATATTTGAGTCTATTTACCACCCTAATGTACAGTAAATTATAAATAGAATCTGCCCCAGTGGTCGCTTTAGGATTGCTTGTTTAAGATGCCTCGACCCCGAGCTCGCTTTGCTTGCGAGAGGCACCATCTCGATAGGTAGGCACAAAGAGCCATGGTTGAACATGTGAAAGCTAGCACCATACCAATTTTCTCATTTATTGAATAAGTCCCTTTCTAGTTTTACTTGCAGCATGATACTGTGACACCCTAACCCGGCTGGATAGTACTTTTACTAAAATTCCCTTGACAAATAAAATACTCAAATCTTAAATTGCAGCGGGAAAAATTTTCATAAATAAAATACTGTAAATACACACTCGTAGTTCAAAGCAACGCCCTAACTCATGGGCAAACTCAATCCTTAAAATCTCAAAATGATCTCCAGTCCATACTAATAATCATAAATGTAAATAACTAATAATCTCTAATGTTGTTGTTACTGAAAACCTTGACTAAGCATCCTCCGTGACGCTTATATTGCTCTCCTCTAGCTGGCTGCCCTCGAACTCATTGCTCCCTAACTGCTCCTCTAGCTCTTCAAACTGGTGAGTGAGATGGGTTCAGTCTACGCCCTTACGTTTAACATCTTATTAATACTTGATCACTTTACTTAACTTAGTGGAAGTTGTTTTGTACTTCCACTATTAAAAATTTTAACTCTTAAAACTGTATTCTTAAAGCTCAAATCTCCACTTAAACTCTTGACTGATACGGGGATCTCTCACTAGCTAGTCCGGTTGCCAACTCATACATATGAGAAGCCATCCAGGCTTTCCTTAAACTTAAACTTATCGTGGAAGGCTCTTCTTCCACGATTCTCAAGAGCATAATTGCTGCTCATCTTAAAATATCTCAAGAGCATAACTGCTGCTCATCTTAAAAGTCTCAAGAGCATAACTGCTGCTCTATCTCAAATGGCAACGGACTGGCGCTAGTGACTAAAAACTCTTAAAACGACTTCACCTTCTTGAATGTGAGTTCCTTCTTAAAAAGAACTTGTTCTTGAACTTTAACAATAACTTATACTCATAAAATTTCAAAGTAAATAATAAACATTCACTTCAAGTCATAATTCAAACAAGGCACATATCATCAACCATTCGCCTAAACAACCATACCAACCACTTCACAAAAATATTTAAAATGCGTAAGGTAAATGCTTGAAAATACGTAACACGTAGAATTTACCCCCTTTACACTCACCTTAGAAATCAGTCGATGAACCTTAATCATCGTTTAAGTGGATCGCACCTGTCGCCACCTCTCTTTGGATCATCATTTCATGTTTCATTACTACTGTCGTAGCTACCTAACTAACCATAGAAGCCATTTTAACCTTATTAACATCCCCAGGAATGGACCGCTAGCATATATATATATGGTGGCGTATTCGGTGCACCCACTTTTTCGGGTGCACTTAGTGCACCCGCCTCATAATTGTCATTCTGACCATGCGATTCATGTCAAAACGGTATCAATTGTTGCTTATGATATTATGAACAAGAAGCACATGAATTTGAAAAAAATTCATTCAAAATTTACTTTAATTTGAAGGATTTAAGATTTAGGGATTTAGGGTTAGGGTTTAAGTTTACAATTTGGGATTTTGGGTTGGAATTCAAAATTGAAGGTTAAAGGGTTAGGGTAATCGATTGATTTGTTATTGTTCTATGTCATATCATCATATTATATTGAGAGTACTAATTAAAGTTCAAAATTTGATGTATCATGGACGCTTTTAGAGTTGGGAGCACTGAGTGCACCGAAGTAGCCACCATATATATATATTTTCTCGGAACTCATCCTTCCTTCCCCCGATCATTTATTCTTACCATACAACTTCGTTGGTAACCCTTGATCGTAATATTTTTCCTTAGCTTGTAGCAATCGTGTAACCTTGAGTTACTCTCAACACTTTTTATTTCACAACTTGACCCAAAAGTGATGAAACAAAAAGTCGATTTGGCTTGATATGTTGATCCAATTCACCTAGTAGTTGTTGTTGAACCTAAATCAAAATCGAGATATCACATTTCCTCCCTCATTACGAAAAATTTTGACCTCGAAATTTATTCTTCATGATTACTCAACATTTCGCCTGAGGTAATCCTTCTACTACAGGGATTTATACTTCCTTTACTTGTACGACATTGAGCTATAAATCCTTCCCTCCAATAAGATGTGATCCTAGCAGACTGGTAGTTCACCCATTTCTCATGGATTTCTACTACTTTGTGGTACTTTACTCAAAGCATCTTGTAATTGCTACGGTTTCTCAAGGTCTCCTCTTATGATTCCTTAAGCAACATCGTCTCATAATTTCCCAGTATTTAGACCTATAATGCTCTCTTTTTCACGATTAATGATTCACCCTCCTCGAACTCCATGACGTAACATCCTGGGTGAGCATTCAACTTGCTCGGTAATACTCTGTTATCTCCTGCTTCCTACCTCCTTCACATCGGTTATGTACTTTGAACGTACCTAGGGCATCCACTATCTCCATCATTTGGTACATAAGAAGGTAATGCCACTTCGAACCCCAAGATTGTTGATGGCTGCTTAACCCCTCCTTCTTGTTAACTACAAAACTCTTCTAACGTAATTCTCGTCCATGGTTGACCACATCGGTCACCGAAGTCCTTGTATCTCATAGCTTTGCATCTCTTACTTTCTTCCTCGATACTTCATCTTATCCTTTAACCATAAACTGAATGGTCATCTCTTCGTTACTTCTTGCTTAACGAAACCTCATAATGCTGCTTCTACTTTCTGAATGCATTAAAAGCATCCTTTGCATCTTTCTCTAGCTTGCAATCAACTTAATGACTTCTTTCGTGAATCATGACCTTCCATTTTGCATACTTGATCACTCCCGGCGCCTAACTTAGCACTTCTTTATCGGCACTTGAATTTGATGTTATCGTACTATCCATTTTGTCACTCTTAGACCCCAAATGAAATTTCTCATACGGTTTCCCCGTCCAAGAAATTTTCACCCGAGAGATTGCCACCATTCACCCGCACAGGCGATCTTGGTTTCATTTTGGGGTATCTTAACTGGTTCCCTAAACTCGTATCCCTCTTACTTCGCTACTCGTGACTCTTCTTCTCGATGTTACTCGCTAGTTCTAGATGATGTCCCTTATTCTCGATGTAGTCATCTAGGTTCTCATATTCTCTTCTTACTAATGTATCTGGAGTCCTTGACTTATAAAGTTCTCCCTTTGACTATTCTTAACGACCACGATTCCACCTTAGAATTGGCCAAAATTTGTTGATGGACTTCCTATGGATTGATTGTTCGCTACTGGTAATCAATCTAATGCTTTCTTGTTGTTTGTTATATTCATGCTTCGGTCCGTCCTAGCTATCTTCCTTGACGCATACATTGCCTGGTCGACGACCACCATTTTGTTTCTGTAACGTCCTATGGTGTTCTCCTTCCGTTTTTGCTTTGCACTATATTTGGTCACCAAAATCCGTTGAGTATCTTCTCGTTATTGTTTGGGTCAAAGCTTCCAATAGAGGATTTCCCTGGGTAGGCTTTAACATACCTCATTCACGTCATTTCTCTCGATTGATGCCTGCATATGGCCTTAATCTCATAGTATGGGTTCTTAGTGGCTTAACTGAACGTGTCTTACTTATCCTTAACTAGCCGCTTCCTATGGATGACATCCTACTATGCCGCTCCCACTCAGAGTGGGGCACCTTGGGTAAGGTAACTTAATGATTTCCTCCTTCGTGGTAATGCTTTTCCTCGTCGTACTCCACTATGCATTTTCTTGAACCCGAGTTACCTACACATATTCTCAATCCTTCATCGGAACTTCCATGTGCTTCCTCGAATTCTCTGTCATTCACTAGAACATTTATTGAACGTTCCACTTACTTGTCTATACTCGGTTGGCTTAATGACTTACTCCTATAGCTAGTTTCGAGACATCGGTTCTTAGCCCACTAGTTCCAACTTTTTAGAGAGGTTCCTCCTTCTGTCACCCCTCATGTATTCTAGGCGGCTAGGTGCTCCCTCCATTTAGGATAGGACAATCCCATAACAGATCATCATGAACTCTTGAATTCCCCTTTCAACGGTCTCAACATCCTCTTGACCTTTCGTGATCTAGGTAGTTTGTAGGGTCTCTAATCTCCTCTTTCTAACTCGGTGTTATCTTGATATCCAACTCACACACTGCTGAGAAGTGGTTCTTTATCCGTACTGCCATTTACTAGCTAACTGTTATTCCATCTCACATTCCAT